ATAAATAAAGTTGAATAATTATTTTTTTAAATTTCTATAATAAAAGTGATTTTTTAAAAGATCAGGTTGCAGAAGAGTATGTATACATCATAATAAATAAAGTTGAATAATTATTTTTTTTAATTTCTATAATAAAAGTTATTTTTTAAAAGATCAGGTTGCAGAAGAGTACGTATAAAATTTTATTTGGGCTTCTTTTCTTGCTTCCCGGCCATCTTGGTGGCTGCTTTTGGTTGGGGGCCGTCCCGCACCTAAGGCAGGAAGATGGTGGCCGCAAAGAAGACGAGAAAGTCGCTGGAGTCGATCAACTCTCGGCTCCAACTTGTTATGAAAAGTGGGAAGTACGTCCTGGGGTACAAGCAGACTCTGAAGATGATCAGACAAGGCAAAGCCACGTTAGTCATCCTCACCAACAACTGCCCAGCTTTGAGGAAATCTGAAATAGAGTACTATGCCGTGTTGGCCAAAACTGGTATTCATCACTACCATGGAAATAATATTGAATTGGGCACAGCATGTGGAAAAGACTACAGAGTATGCACACTGGCTATCACTGATCCAGGTGATTCCGATATCATTAGAAGTATGCCCGAACAGACCGGTGAAAAGTAAATCATGCAACATTTTTCTTTAATAAAGCTTGCCAGAACTTGTTTTAAAAACAAAACAAAACAAAAAACAAAGAAAGAAAGAAAAAAGAAATTTTATTTGGGTAAAAGCAAAATATGTAAATGGGTGTGTGTGTTTGTGTGTGTGTGTGTGTGTGTTTGTATATACACAAAATGAAAATGCCTAGCCATGCACTAAACTATTAATGGTTATTTCTAGAATGATGATGGCTAGATATTGTTTTAATATTTTATAATAAACATGCATAACTTTCACACTAACTTTTTTTTTTTAAAGACACAGAGTCTTGCTATGTTGCCCAGGCTGGCCTGAAACTCGCCGTCCTCTTGCCTCAGCCTCCCAAGTACCTAGGATTACAAGTGTGTACCACAGGCCAGTTAATAGTAACATTTTTTTATGTTTAGTTGTCAGAGGTGTGCGTGCTCACAAGGAAAGGAGAGACAGAGAGAGAGGAAGGATGAGAAAGCATCTCTCAGTAGGGTGTGGTCACACCACAACCCCCATCTGTTTCGTTCCTCCATCCTGCTGGGCTTTGCATGCGCATGTGCCCACTATGTGTTTTCAGGCCACCAGGCCAGGGTTCAAACCACAGTCAGTCATGTGGGATCTAGCTCCCTTAATCACCAGGTTATAGGCCAGCCCCATAATAACATTAAAAAAAAAAGAAAATGTAAAATTTACCTGTTTATATTTGTCATAATAATGAACATGAACACTGGAAAACGTCTTTAGGGCCAGTTGGTGGAGAACTGGTTAAGGCAGCTGGCTGACTGTGTGGTTCAAGTCCTCGACCTAGCAGCTTGAAAAACACATAGGGCACATGTGTGTGTATGTGCGCGTGCACACATGTCCAAAATCCCAAAGAGAGTGAAGGGACTGCAGCATGGCCATTCCCTGAGAGGTGAGTCCTCACTTTCCCCTCTCTATCTCTGGCAAGCACATGCATCCTGTAACAAAACTTAAAAAATAAATAAATAAAAAGGCTTTAAAAACGTAGAATAGGGACCAGCAGATAGTATAATGGTTACACTGCTGAACTCCCGCGTAGTCGGTCGCAGATTGAGTCCTATACCCAGCGGCTTAAAACTCATGCCAGGTACACATGCACGCGTGCCCAAGAGCTTAAAACTCATGCCAGGTACACATGCACGCATGCCCAAGAGTCTAAGAGGAGAATGGAGGAGAAGGGATTGCGGCATGGCCATCTCCCCAAGGAGTGATTTCTCACTTTCTGTCTCTCTGGGAGTGTAAACGCCCTATAGCAAAAATCTCTCAAAAAAAGGGGAAGAATATATCAAACTGTTACTGGTGATTATTTCAAGGGTAATGATTTATACCTTCTAAGCCCTCCAAGTATATAAAACTTATATTTTCACATGTATTATTTTGAAATTAGACAAAAGAGTAAGAATTTTTTTTTTTTTCATTGTTCCTGATCCTGAAAAGATCTGAGTTCAACTCCTAGCTCCACTACTGGTTGGCCCTAGTATGCCCTTGATGGCTTAAATCTCTTCTCTCCTAAAGTGAGGGTATCATGCCTCCTATAGAGCTACTGAGGTGGCCCTAGAAGTGAGGGAAGCAGGAGCAGCTGCTGCTGCTGCTGCTGCTGAGGAAGTGCACACACATACCACTTACCCTGGTCCACTGCCCTCCCCACTCCCAGAACCCAACAAGGTTCTGTATGGTATATACTCACATATATAGACATATATATAGACATAAGGAGACAACCAAGGTCAAGGTACAGTCAGGGTGGGAATGGTCACGAACAGTAACAGGCCAGCTCAGGATCTGCAGGGAGTGGCAGCCTTGCAGCAGGCCAAGCACTGGGACGGGCGTACACATGCCAACTCTAGGCCAGACCATATCACTCTTGTTCTGATTCTTAGACTGATCATTTGGTCTCTACCCAGCTATAGAGCCCCATCCTAGGAGGCACTAAATATTTGCTGAGTGAGTGGGTGAAGGCATGCATGACTGGCTTTGGTCAACTCCCAGGCCAGCTGCTCACAACCCTCTCTGCAACATATCCGGGGCCCCAGAGCTGCACACCCATCCCTGGAGCCTCCTTTCCTCGCCTCCTCCCTGTCTCATGTACAGGAATCTCACCACATCAGCCTCCCTTGGGCACTGTCTGCTGAGTACCTGCCGAACAAAAGAATGTAGTTACAGCCTCATGGGCCCAGCAGGACAGTGGCCTGGAGCACAGAAGTGCTGAGTGGGCTCAGAAACTGGTCAGAGTCAAAAGGAAGGAGGCCTTGAACCTACTCGAATAGTGATTCTGCTAAAATCACTCCTGGTCCCTGTAGGGCCTATAGACCTTGACCTGACCAAAATTAACTGCCTTGCTGTGGCTGAGTCTGTGTCTCTGCTGCTACCCTGACCATTCATCACTACTGACCTGAGTCCACTTCCAAGTTTTCAAAGCACATTCATATCTATCACTGCTTTTGATCTTTGCCCCATTTTACAGATGAGGACACGGGGCCAGGGAGGTGAAATGGCTTGCCTAAGACCAGGTTGCCATACAGTGCCAAATTCAGACTTCCCCACACAACATCAGCACTCTTTTCTTTTTTATTTTAGTTTTGTCATAGGGCACATGAGCTCACCAGAGAGAGAAAGAGAGTGACAGAGAGAGTGAAAATGAAAAATCAAACCCCAGGGGAGATGGTCACACCACAATCCCTTCTCCTCCATTTACCTCTTAGGATTTTAGGCATATATGCATACACGTGCCAGCACACCTGAGCGAAGGCAGACCGGCAAGGCCAGACCACCTGAGCTAAGGCAGACCAACCAAGGCCAGCCACCTGAGCTAAGAACGATTTTCCCATGTTTAAATGGTTGGAGAAAAATTGGACTTTTGCAATAGATGTTGATGATAGAGAACGTTAACTCTGAGCCTCAAGTAAGTGGAAAGTTACCCCCATTCCCCCAGAACAATTCCATTCTTCCTAGTACACCTATATTACAGAAAAATTGTTCTCAATGATTATGGTATTCTAAGTATCATCAATAAAGACTCTGTGAATTAAAGAAAAAAAAAGGCACATGGAAAATTACAAGAATTCTTAACGGGGACCAGCAGTTAACGTAATGGCTATGTCGCTGAACTCCCATGTAGTTGACCGCAGTTCAAGTCCCGGACCGAGTGGCTTAAACTCTTGCCAGGCACGTGTGCATGCGTGCCCAAGATCCTGAGAGGAGAATGGAGGAGGAGGGACTGTGGCGTGGCCATCCCCCCTGGGGGGTGATTTCTCGCTTTCTGTCTCTCTGTCTCTCTCTGTCTGTCTTTCTGGCAAGCGCACACGCCCTGTAGCAAAAACACTCCAAAAAAAAAAAAGAATTCTTAACAAGGGGCTCTGTTAAACTCACCTATTTTTCCTATACAAGGCACCCCCTTGACCCCATAGATGTAGTTCTTAGATTCCCTTGGTGATTTAAACAGGATGTGGACCAGGCCTAAGAATCTCTCTCCTATTTAAGTTTCTTTCTTTCCACCATGAATGAGAGACAGCACTCCCAGCCAGTTCTGAGATCATGGGCACACGTATTCCTGGTGTACTCAGGGAGGTCTCTGGATGAAAATCAGGAACCTTTTCCATTTGGGTCAGCCCTGCAAAGCATCATGTTTTATCTCTGCGCCACTAAGTGGCCCTAATAATTCATATAGTTGTTAATGAGTGCCCTCTCCTTTGATCTAGATAATTCTCTAATGAAGTTTCAGAAACTCAGCTCTAGAATAGGAGAATTCAACAAAAAGCACAAAGTAAGACCAACACAACAGTGGATGAGAGGGACAGTATCCTCAGGGCCTGTCCTCTGGAATACACGACCTGCAGCAACAATCCACAGGACTAGAGCGGTCAGATTAACTTGGCAAGTCAGGGACAAGTCTGCAGAAAGGTCACACCTGCCAGCACTTGGTATATCTGGGACACAACTGATCACTTAAGAAAACTTTTGGAGGGGGCCAGCAGATGGCATGGTGGTTAAGGTGCTGGACACACCCACATGGCTGACCATGGTTCAAGTCCTGGACCTGGTGGCTTGCTTTCTCACTTTCCCTCTCTCTCTCTCTCTCTCTGTCTCTTTCTGGTCAAATTAAAATAAATAAATGAATAAATAAAATTAAATAAATAATTTTTTTTAAAAAAGAAAACTTTTGGGAAACATTGCTAAATTTGACATGTCCAGGGTGACACACGTAGTACTGGAACTAAGGCAGATCTGCGACACTTAATGATCCTTTAGGAATGCAGAGCCTGGTGACCAAGTTGACTGACCCAACATCCTCACTCCTATTACCTTTCCAGAGATGGCCTTTGGTCCACCTGTCCTGGTTCAACTCCCAGGAACCGAGCAGGCAAGAGAACTCGAGAGCTGAATATCCCCACAGGAGCCACCAGGGAGCTTGACTTCATGAGGAAATCTCTATAGCATTCTTGAGTTTAGTTCTCAGGTACCAGAGAACTGTAGGAATTCATAATCTGCCTTCTCTACCCCTTTAATTCTAAGAACTCCTGCACTAGTTATGAATAGTATACATTTTGATGAAAAGTAACTGCAGCAAAGGTCTTATTTCTTTCTGGGAGCACATGCTCACACGGACACTTTCTGCCAGGAACCTTGGCATGCCTGCACCTGCCTGTGCTGCTCTTTAGGCTGCTGCTGACCACATGCAGGGAGAGGGGACCTGGATTCTGAGAGTGTCTACATCACACTCACAGAAGGCTGGAGTGGGGGAAAATCTGAGTAAACTGATCGGAACCTGGAACACATAGAAACCAGCTCTAAAATTCTAATCTAAACGGTATTCAAGGCCCTATGTTAGCCCTCAGAAAAGCAGTCATCAAATACAAGACCGAGGATGTAGATGGCCTTTCTGGCCCAGGATAAAGACTGAGATAACTGGCCTCGTTTCCTCAGGGCTGCATTAGTCCTTTTCTCTGGTATCCTCAAATTTCCCTGTCTTCTCAACCCCATTCCTACTTTCAGAGATTAAGATCCCAATATTTGCCAGGCATTCAGGATACAGATATAAAAAGTCTTAGTCTGAACAGAGAGACCAGGACAGATATCAGCACAGTAGTGGCACAACGGAACCCGTACAGAAGGGTCCTCGGTGGTGAGTGTATACCCATGATCCAGGCAGGCTGGAGCTCCCTGTTGGGGATGCTTGTCTATTTCTCTCTTGGAAGAAATAGTCTAAAAAGGGGCGGGGGGGGGGTGGTATGGTGGTTAAGGGACTGTACATTCTCACATGGCTGGCCATGGTTCAAGTTCCAGACTTGGTGGGTTGCTTTCTCACTTCCCTCTCTCTCTCTGGTCAAATTAAAATAAATAGATGAATAAATAAATAAATAATACTATATATATTTTTAAAATAAAAGGCAAGTAAAGGAGGACACAATTACCAGGCAACCCAATATCTGGGCACTGAGAAAGGCGTGTACACTAATGTCTAAGGGCAGGGGATGCTGGGAAGGATGCAGACACAGCAAAAGGACCATTTGCCATGCCAAGTTCGGGGTAGCTGAAGCCCAAGGCACATATAGGGACGGTAGGGCAGCAAGGGCCAGAACTGAGGTAGGAAGAAAGGCCTCAGATTCTGTTTCCTTCAGGTCTGGCCTGCCTGGCTCATACTCCCTGTGGGGCACCTAATGCAGACCCATCTAACTTGCTGAAGGGCTTCATGATTTTAATGCTTCTTTCCCCCCATTCCTTCTATTCCTTGGCTAAGTGAACTGGTACATTCACAGGATAGATTACACAACTGCTAAAAATAATGCTTCCATTGAGACCAGCAGGGGCATGATGGTTATGTCACTGGACTCCCATGTAGTCGACCGCAGCTTGAGTCCTAGATCTGACAGCTTAAAACTCACACCAAGCACATTTGGATGTGTGCCCAAGATGGCCATCCCCCCGAGGGGCAGTTTCTCACTTTTCCCTCTCAATCTCTTTTGCTGTCTCTGGTGAATGCATGTGCCATATAGCAAATTAAAAAAAAAATTCCCTCAGAAATTTTAACATTTTAAGACTTTTTTTGATAACTAATTTTAATAAATAACACATGTACACATCTTGAAATGCAAAAGGTTAAAAAAGGATAAAGACTAAAAAGTCTCTCTTTCTCATCCCTGAAAAACAGCTGCCCCATTCCTTACCTTGGAGATCAATGGTACTAGACTGTATCTTTAGGGTAAATCCTAGAAGCAGAACTACAGGGTCAGAGGGTATCTCTATTTGTAACTTCCTTTCTCCTCCATTCTTGTCCTGTAGAGATTGTGGGGACATACACACACATGCACAGCATGTGTTTCAAGTTAGTGTGGCCAGAGTTTAAACCATAGTCAACCATTTGGGACCTGGCTCCTTTAACCACTAGGCTATGGGACCAGCTCTCTATTTGTAACTTTGATAAATAATGCCAATCACCCTCCAGAAAGGACGTAACAACTTATATTTCCATGAGAAATATATAAGTACTTGTTTCCCCCACGTACTGGACAATGACAATGTATCTTTTCTTTTTTAAGAATTATTTTATTTGACTTTATCTTGTTATTTAATTATTTAATTATATTTTTAATTATTTTAAAAATTTGACCAGAGAGGGACAGAGTAAACGAGAGAGGGAAAGCAAGAAAGGAAGCCTCCAGGTCCGGGACTCGAACCATGGTCGGCCAAGTGGGAGCCCAGCACCCCCAACCAATGTTACCTGCCAGCCCTGACAATGTATGTTTTCTAAAGAGTATGTATATATTAACTCAAACGAGAAATGCAGTGTAATTTTGGCAGCTTGGAAAGATAGTTTAAATTCACTAATTCATTTAGTAATTAACTAATAGGTCAATGGGAAAGTCATGACACATTTTTGCACAGAAAAACATAGAAAAATATGTCATGACTGGGACCAGCAGGTGGCATAACGATTACATCTCAGGACTCCCAAGTAGTTGACCGCAGTTTGAGTCCCGGACCCAGCAGCTTGAAACTCGTGCCGGTCATGCCGGTAGCATGTGCGTGTGTGCCCAAGAGAAGAATGGAGGACATGGCCATCCCTCCTGGGTGGTGATTTCCTGCTTTCTGTCTCTTTGGTGTGAGAAGGTTCCCTATAGTAAAAATCTCTTAAAAAAAAAAAAAAAAAGGAAAAATATGTCATGACTTTCCCAATGATCATATATTAAAGATCTATTATGTTCCAGCACTGTGCTAGGCCCCAGAGATACAATTTCCAATTATAAAGTAAAAACATAGAAAAATATGTCATGCATGGTGGTTAAAGTGCTGGACACTCCCACATGGCCAACCACGGTTCAAGTCCCAGATCTGGTGGCTTGCTTTCTCACTTTCTCTCTCTCTCTCTCTCCTCTCTCTTTCTCTCTCTCTCTCTCTCTCTCTCTCTGTGTGTGTGTGTGTGTCTGGTCAAATTAAAATAAATGAACAAATAAATAAAAATTAAATTTAAAAAAAGTATATTTGAGTGGGGATTCTAGGGTCAACTGTTCTACTTTTTCACATTTCAAGCCACCAGGTCCAGGACTCAAAACTGTGGTTGGCCATGTGGGAGTGTCCAGTCCCTTAACCACCATGCCACCTGCTAGTCCCCAGATTGGTTTTAAGCTTCAGTGATTTTACTTAAAAAAAAAAAAAAAAAGGTAAAGGAATTTAGGCTACCACTGGCATAAACTTTTCAGGCTCATCTTTTTGTCATCCCTTTACATCAGTGTTTTGTTTGTGTTTGTTTTTGAATTTTGCTATAGGGTATGTGTGCTCACTGGTGGGGGAGGAGGGTGGGATGAGAAAACAACCCCTGGAAGAAAGGGCAGGCCACAGTCCCTTCTCTTCCATTCTCTGCTTGAAATTCTGGGCACGGATGCACATGCACCTAGCATGTTTTTCAAGCTACTAGGTCCAAGACTCAAACTGTGCAGTTGGCCACATAGAATCCAGCCAATGTTAATCATCATGTCACTCTCTGGCCCAGACCACTGTTTTAAAATGTTAATTTTTTTAAAAAAGACAAGATCTCACCATGTTGTAATCCTTCTGCTTCAACCTCCCAATTGGGACTACTGTGTGTCTATCCAGGTTCTTTTCCAACGGGGTCTCACTTTGTCACATAGGTCAGCCCTGAGCTCACGATTCTCTTGCCTAAGCCTCTTTACGTTCCCCATAGAGCTATGCAATCAACAGGTACTTGGTTCATTTGCTGAATGAATGAGTCACAACTTCCCTTTCTGAAAGAGCTTCATTCCTTGAAGGCAGAGTAGGTGAGACATCAGAACTATGTGTATTTACAGCCTGAGAGGAAATCTAGAATGGAGCACACTTAGTTTGACCCAGGCAAATCAGAGTTTTACCAAAAATGTAAGGTCTAGGGGCGCTTGTTATGTTTACCACTACTAAATAATATCAGCCAATACTCAGACTTTTAAATGAATTATCTCCTTTAACCTGTATAGCCTACCTGCCTTTGTACCATCTTTAGCATCCCCTGGGGTGATAAGTTTCAGCACAGTTAGGTCACTTGCCACTCAGAGGCAAAACTTCCCAATCGCAAGCCAATATGCTTAACAGAAGGGGTTCCTCGGTGATCTGTTCCCCTACATCTCCTCGACCCAGACTCGGCTTCCAGGTGCCTTACTCAGGAAGGCCAGACACCTCAGGTGCATCTCATAAATGTGTACAGGAAGACAGATCTGATGCCTAGGAGTATTTCAAACTGCACAATTAAATACAAATCAACCTAGCAAACTCTATTTGTGGAAAATTAGTATCCTCTAAGAACAAAACATTCTTCAGTGATTACGTTTTTCTAAATTGGAAATGTTACTTAACAATTCTAGAGTACTCAGAACCAGCAGTTAGTGTAATGGCTATGTCCCTGAACTCCCATGTAGTCGACCGCGGTTCAAGTCTTGGACCTGGTGGCTTAAATTCATGCTGGGTGCATGTGCGTGCATGTCCAAGATCCCGAGAGGAGAATGGAGGAGAAGGGACTGCAGTGTGGCGAGCCCTCCTGGGGGAGGGTGATTTCTTGCTTTCTGTCTCTCTGTCTCTCTGGCGAGCCCATGCACCCTGTAGCAAAAATCTCTCCAAAAAAGAAAAAAATCTAGAGTACTTTTTTTCTTTTTAAGTACTGTCCAAAATTCTTTTATAAAGTTATTTATTTAATTTTATTTATTCATTCATTTTAATTTGACCAGAGAGACAGAGAGAAAGTGGGAAAGCAAGCCACCAGGTCTAGGACTTGAACCGTGGTTGGCCATGTGGGAGTGTCCAGCACCTTAACCACCACGCCACCTGCTGGTCCTCCTGTCCAAAATTCTTAAATAAATGGAAAAAAATAATCAGGAACCTGTAATCGAAAAAAGGTTTGGGTTTTCCCAAATAGAAATACCCACACTTGGGACCAGTAGATGGCATAATGGCTACATCGCTGGGCTCCCAAGCAGTTGACCGTGTGGACTCCCAAGCAGTTGACCGTGTGGCTTAAACTCACGCAGGGCATGTGCGTGTGTGTGCCCAAGATCCTGAGAGGAGGATGGAGGAGAAGGGATGATGGTGTGGCCATCCTCCTTGGGGGGGTAAGTTCTTGCTTTCTGTCTCTGTGTCTCTCTCTGTCTTTCTGGCAAGTGCACATACCCTATAGCAAACACCTCTCTTAAACACACACACACACACACATTTAGGGCTCGCAGGTG